TGTGTGTGTGAGGGAGAGCGCGAGAGTGTGTGTGTGTGTGAGGGAGAACACGGATGTGAGGGACAGCGTATGAGAGAGAGCACGAGAGTGTGTGCGCAAGAGAGGGTCTGTGTGTGCGTGTTTTTGTGTGAGAGAGTGTGTGTGTGTGTGTGAGTGTGTGTGTGAGAGAGAGAGAGAGCGTGAGTGTGTGTGTGTATAGTGTGATGGGGTCACCTGTAGTGCGACATGAGCCTAAGATCCCACTTGAGGCCGTCCTCATTGGACACTGCCAAGCAGACGAGATAGTGGGACTACACCACCTACATGTATACTAAGAACACGAAACTGGAGAAACTTGGCATCACCACCACCAGTTGCCAAGCCTCCCCTGGCACGACAGTTGAAAATGGTACCACAATGGGGAAATCCATTGTCAACTTATCCTTCAACCAGATCGAAGTTCTCAGCCGAGGGCTCCATTTTCTGCCTCACAACCAAAATGGACCCCATCAGTCTCATGGCAGGCACAGAGGAATTCATCAGACAAATGAAACTCCAGGAATTCTTCCAAGATTTCAGCAGCAAGCCCGATAAGACAACCAGCAAACCAGAACAGTCGACAGAGAGATCCATGGTGGAGTGGCCAAAGAAGGAGTCGAATTGGAAACCCCCACCCCTCCAGAGGGCTATTGGCAGGTATGCACAAGCCATCAGAGAACACGTGAATACCAGATTTATCAGCCGCACTCACAAGGTAGTGTAACGCTACCAGGCATATCACAATGCCATCTGTGCTCTCAAGACCAGTCGTAACATTGTCATCAAACCAGCAGACAAAGGAGGAGCCATCAATATACAGAATAGAATAGACTACCGCAAGGAAATACACAGACAATGAACAACCAGGAACACTACAGACAACTACCTGCCAATCTGACCAAAGAAAACCCTCGTGAACTCAACAGACTGATTAAGACTTTTGATCCAGTCCTTCAAAGTACCCTACGCACTCTTATCCCACATACCTCCTGTGTAGGACACTTCTACTGCCTTCCAAAGATACACAAAGCCAACACACCTAGACATCCCATAATATCAGGCAATGGGACCCTGTATGAGAACCTCTCTGGCTATGTTGATGGCATCTTGAAACCCACTGTACAGGGAAACCCAGCTTCTGTCGCAACACTGCAGATTTCTTATAGAAACTCAACACCCATGGAATAGTCGAACCAGGTACAGCCCTCATCACAGTAGACATTTCGACACTCTACACCAGCAACCCCCATGACGACAGCATTGCCGCAACAGCCTCAGTACTCAATACCAACAATTCCAAGACACCATCCTATAACTTATCCGCTTCATCCTCAACCACAACATCTTCACCTTCAACAACTGATTCTTCATCCAAACACAGGGAACAGCCATGGGGACCGGATTTGCTCCCCAATATGCCAACATTTTAATGCACAAGTTCAAACAAGACTTTTCTGCTGCACAGAACCTCCAACCAACACCAGATACATTGACGACATTTTCTTCCTTTGGACTCATGGCAAAGAATCATTGAAACAAGCACATAGCGATATCGACAAGTTTCATCCCACCATCAACTTATCACGGAGGTCTGGCAGCATTTGTGAAGGAGAAAACAGAATTAATGTTTTGGGTCCGGTGACCCTTCCTCAGAACCTTCACAGCATCTCCTTCACAGATGCTGCCAGACCTGCTGAGATTTTCCAGCAACTTTGTTTTTGTTCCTGATTTTCAGCATCCGCAGTTCTTTTGGTTTTTATCAACTTACCGTGGACTACTCTTCAGAATCAGTCTCATTCTTGGACACACGCATCTCCATCAAAGACGGACACCTCAGTACCTCACTCTACTGCAAGCCCATGGATAACCTCATGATGCTGCACTTCTCTAGCTTCCACCCTAAACATGTTAAAGAAGCCATCCCCTATGGATAAGCCCTATGCATACACAGGATCTGCTGTGATAAGGAGGAACGTGACAGACACCTAAAGGTGCTGAAGAATGCCCTCATAGGAACAGGATACGATGCTTAACTCATCAATCGCCAGTTCCGACATGCCTCAGTGAAAAACTGCAACGACCTCGGATGACAGACACGGGATACAACTGATAGAGTATCCTTTGTTGTCCAGTACTTCCCAGGAGCAGAGAAACTACGCTAAGTTCTTCGCAGCCTTCAACACATTATCAATGACAATGAGCACCTCACCAAGATCTTCCCTACACCTCCACTTCTTTCCTTCAAACAACCGCCAAACCTTAAACAGACCATTGTTTGCAGCAAACTACCCAGGCTTCAGGACAACATTGACCACAACACTACACAACCCTGTCATGGCAACCTCTGCAAGACATATCAGATCTTCAACACGGACACTACCATCACACGTGGGAACACCACCCACCATGTACACAGCAGCTACTCGTGTGACTTGGCCAATGTTATCTATTTCATAGGCTGCAAGCAAGGATGCCGTGAGGCGTGGTATATTGGCGAAACCATGCAGACACTACGGCAACGGATGAATGGACACTGCGCGACAATCTCCAGACAGGGATGCTCCCTCCCGGGGGGGAAACACTTCAGCGGTCAAGGACATCCCTGCCCCGGATCTTCGGGTAAACATCCTCCAAGGTGGACTTTGGGATACACAACAATGCAGCGTCGCCAAGCAGAGGCTGATAGCCAAATTCAGTACCTATGAGCACGGCCTGAACTGGGATCTTGGGTTCATGTCGCACTACAGGTGAGCCCACTGCACTGTACACTCTCTCACACACACACTCATACTCACATACACACTCACACTCACATAGACCCTCTCATACACACACACTCTTACACACTCTCTCAAGCGCACGTGCACACTCTCTCTCCCCCCTCTCTCTCTATCACAAACACATACACACACACACACATGAATCTATGGGGTGAATTTGCATTTGAAGATCTGTAATTGCAGATATTTTTGCAGATATTTTGTGCTAAAAGCACACAATTTGTAGACAGTCAGTGTGGCATTTTATAAATTCCTACTTTGGAAATAAAACCAGTCTGATTCCAAGTTAATACACAGCCAGATTCTAAACAAGGCCTCACACCTAAAATGCACTGTCTGACCTGAGGTGACCCCCTCTGGTATACTAATAAAACCTTTAGTTATCTCGGGCAATGACTTGAAAGAAATTCTGGTACTTGCATATTAATCCTTTCTAACTGATTAAAGATTTAACAGCCATCTTGGGTTTGTTCAATACATTTGCATCAGTTCTATGACCCTTTGATCTTTTTCTTATAAATTCTGTGTCTGATGCCACCTCTCACTGACACCTAAGGAAGGAGCGAGACTCTGAAAGCTTGTGCCTTCAAATAAACCTGTTGGACTATAACCTGGTGTCGTGTGATTTTTGACCTTGTCCACCCCAGTCCAACACCAGCACCTCCACATCATCACAAAGTATGTTAGTATTTTGTGATGTAAGGTTGTTTCGTCTATCCCAACTCACTACACCTTGCCTCTCAGATTTACTTCCCTCTTACACTTGTATCCTCACCTCTGGCTTTGATTTCCTCCTAGCTTGCCCTGCCATTTGGCCTTGCTTCCTTCTCCCTGAGTCTTGTCTCCTTCTATCCTTGTTTTGGCCTTGGTTCCTGCCCCCTCTGATTAGCTCAGCCTGCTGCCTTGTCCCAGCTGCTGTTCAGAAATTGTGCTCCATCTACTGTCAGAAGTTGGTCTTTGCAGGAACTTTCCCACGCCCTGCTCTGACTGATGCCTACCGCAGATGGAGCCTGGTTCAATCTGAAAGATACAGTGAGTGTATTTTTTTAAATATTGTACTGGGAGTATACTGTGTTGTTTTTTGTTTTCTTTTGTACTTAGTGATGTATATTAATTTGGGAGTTATTTCTGCTAGGAAGGCACAATATGGTACAATGTTTCAACTTGTACATTGTGCTTTTTTGGTCAAATATCTAAAGAAACCTAACTCCGACTTTAATATTTATTTCTATGGGGCACCTCAAATTCACTTCATGTTGTTTCACTTAAAGTTGCGATATTCAGGAATGAAACCACAATTTTATGTGAGGACTTGCTCTATCTAATGACAGTATCCTAGAATGTAAGATCAGTTATAATATAGAACTGCCATCAGGACTCTCCCAATCCTTACTAAACTACTTCTGCATGGCTATACGTACTTAATTAAACTTTTTCAGTCGAAGTTGTTTTAGGCGATGGTTATCAATTGACTGAGATTGTAGCAATAACCTGAAAACCCATAGAGAAGGTGAAAAGTTAAAGAAGTCTAACCCAAACCCTAACTGGGTGATCTGGAGGCTTTACCTGATTTAATGGCAGAAGGTTTTTGTCCTTCTTTCCTAACAGTAGGCAACCAGTTTCAGAGATGACTTGCTGTTAAGTGGGGAGGCCCATATCTCCAGTCTGCACATGCAGAGCAGAGAGAACAGTAGGAGAGATGAAGGAGCAGCAGGACAGGGAGAAGATTACAGACTTGTGAGAGCATGTAAGGAAGGTGGGGATTGATCAGGTTTTAAGAAAGGAAATGAGATTCCCTGGAGATCTGGGGCAAGTAGTCCTTCTGTTAAGGCACATACCTGATGAATCTAGTCCTTCTCTGCCACTTCTGCCTGAGCCCTGAGAGACACGACTTGCAGATATTAAAAGTAAAATTGTGGTTAAATTTGAGACGCTTGACATCAGTAGAATATTTAAATCATCGTTCAGTTGCTGGAGACCATGTTAGTCCCTCGTACCCGAACTTGCTTCTGTTGCAACTATAAGTGGCCAGAGTTGACTTACCAATTACAACAGGATTTCAAGTCTCACACTGTACGTAATACCATTGGGGTTTGTACGTAATACAATATACACATGATTAGGTAATAATTGTGTTCATCATATAAAATTTCTGTGCTTTGCCAAAAATAAAGATGCTTACATATTCTAAGAATTAGCTGTCTGACTTCTTAGCTCATGATAAGTGAAACAACGGAAATGAAACAAAGAACTACTAATGCTGGAGAACTAAAACAAAGACAGAAGGTACTGTCTGATGAAGGGTCACTGGACTCAAATGTTAACTCTGTCTCTCCACAGATGCTACCACTGCTAAGTTTCTCTAGCAGTTTCTGTCTTTGTATCAGTTGAGACCAGTTAGCCTCTAACTGAGCAAGGTGCAATTATTATATCTTGGGACATTTAAGCTGCATTGTCAAGTAATACATTGTACTTATATGGTGTAATGCTATCCATAGAAAACAGTTTAACTACTGCCCTGCCATGTGCAGGAAGCGCATTAGTAACTGCTATATTTTGCATTTTGTTTAATACTATTACTTGAAGGAAAAACATTTCATCTCACCACTTTATGATTGCAGTACTGCTGGCAACAAACTGCTCTGACAATTATGGTTACTGCGCTCATTTCTGCCGCGAAATTCCAGAGAGAAACAGACGGGAGTGTTCATGTGCAGCTGGCTACAAACTAAGTGAAGATGGAATCTCCTGCAATGCATCAGGTGAGCAGCAGCCAATGTCCATGTAAATTTGAGACAGTTCATTCCTCTTGTTTCTGCTGCTTTTTAGCAAGTGAGAACAGGACTTGATAGTGCTTTATGTTGTCTAGCCTGATGGTGATTGGATAAACCAGTTATCTTCCATATCCATTTTATTAATTCATGGGATATGGGGATCACTGGTTGCTAAGGACATGCAGTGGTACTGGGTTACAGAACAAGTAGCAGAATTCACTAGAATCAACTTATGATGACAATGCCAGGGTATCAGAAGATGAAAATTCCAGATTTCAAAAGTAGTTTAAATTGTCTCACAAAGTTCTTTTGATTGTTAGCACTAATGACCTGCTGTTGTCTGTAAAGCAATGGTCACTGTTCACTTTGCTAATTAATCCAGTGGACCCAAGTCTTTTCTTGATAAAATTCTTTCTTTTAAGCTTTCTTGTTTTTTTTTCAATCATGCAGGAAAAGAGAGGGAGACATGGATGCTTTCAGTTTCCAGGCTCTGGATGTCTCCCCCTCCTGCCTTGGGATTTAGAACTCTGTATACACTGTAGCTTAACCAGTCAGAGGGCTGTCACCAGGAAGAATTTCCTTAACTCAAAAGACTGTTGGTGCTACTCAGTCTCAAATTCTCTCTCTCTCTGCTTCAGAAAGCAACGTTATCTGCCACAGCCAGAATTGTCTGGAACATGATTTTCAGGTTGCAAAAACACCCTGGTATTTGAGCAACATAAGCAATCTGACTCCCATTTCAGTATATTGTCCCAAAAATGAAAAATAAATGATTGCTTACAAACAGCAGTTAGCATGGCAACAGCATGCACTGTGAAAATGATAATCCCCAGAGAAGGAATATCAGCCTATGAATGAATAGATACCAGGGGACAGCCAGAAACTCTGTACAATTAAAGACTGAATGCAATGTATTTGCAGAGACTGATGGAAGTGATACTGACTTGCATTAATGCACAGTACTGTTGATGAATGATAACTTGCTTTGTGACATATATTGAGTAACATGAGTACCTGTAATTGCAAATTATTATGCATGTGTTTTCTCGTGAAAACGTGGATATTTACAATTATAAAGCTGTAAACATGCAATTGTACTTGCTGTACTGGGTGGCATGCCATAGTTATATGACTCAATCTCTACTTTAAGTATCTTTGTAAACAGCTTGTGGCAGCCATTAATTCACCACCAAAAGCATTACATTGTTGTATGTAACATTTTATGTTGCAGATAAATATCCTTGTGGGCTACTGAAAGGAATTCAATCGCTGCAAGACCATGACAATGCGAAAGGGAAAGGGAAAGGGAAAGGTGAAGGCGAAGGCCCAGGCCCTGGTAATGCAAACAGCAGGGGCACGATTAAAGGAGAAAGCGGCCTACTGGGCCCACGAATCATAAAAGGGAGAGTAATGACGAAAGGTGGCAGTCCGTGGCAGGTAAGATCTCATTGTTTTCAAGATCCAGGTGAGCATTAGTCCTCCGCAAATTAAGAGGTGTAGATTAATTTTAAGGCAGATGTTTTTATGGCACTGAGGTGTTCCTGTATATCTGTTACCGTAGTGAGAGAACAGTCTCAGAGCTGTGTGCCTTTCACTCCAACACAAAATCAACATCAGATTTGAAATTTGTGAGGTCCATTCAGAAGTCTAATAACAGCGACAAAGAAGCTGTTCTTGAACCTGTTAGTCCATGTGTTTTAGGCTTTTGTATCTTCTGCCTGATGGAATAGCTTGGAAGGCATTATAATCGGGTGGGAGGGGTCTCTAATGATGTTGGCTGCCTTTCTGAGGCATCGAGAAGTGGAGATGGAAATTCACAATCCAGTGCGCCATATCTGTGTCTGAAAATGATGTAGGTGGGACATGTTCGACAATAAAACTGGCAACATTATCTTCTTACCTTCCAACCTAGAATCAGTCAGTAACAGAGCAAAATTGCATCCCTGAATCAAGCTATTGCACCAATTGAACTCCATGACTTGATCATTGATAATTTTGTTCATTTTTAACAAAAATAAACTAGACCCTGGGAGTGGCAGCTTTTATGGGTTCAGGGGCGTGTGATAGGGACTGTTTTCTTGTGCTTGCAGTGAACTGTTTCACTGGGAATGGATTGGGTTGGGGGTCAGCCTTGTGCTTTTCTTAGTCACTATAGGTAGTGCTTTTCATTTGAATTTCTTGAATGATCCTTACTCATGTTTTGAATTTGTGTTCAATATCCATATGGCCACTGTGTTTGTTGCTGGCAGGTCCTTCTCATGAATGCAAGTGGAAAATTCATCTGTGGTGGTGTGCTGATTCATCAGTTTTGGGTGCTGACTGCTGCTCATTGTGTATTTGAAGGAAATCGATTTCGAGTAAAACTTGGTATGGACAACTGTCATTTATAGCTCAATGCTTCTGCAATTACCTAGGCTCTGCAGTGAAGTACTTCACACTGGTTAAAGCTCAAACTTAATGTTTCTAGCCAGAGTTCTACCAGCTCTCTGTTGTCCAACAGTGTCACATTATCCTTATTTTATGGTTTTCCTTCATAAATACCACCCCTTGGCAACATCTGCCACAGACAAAAGATGAGCTCCCCCAATGCACTGATGACAGCCTCTCTACCTACTCTGTGGACTCTGGGCTGTCCAAATGCTTGTCCAGCCTTCTGATCAGCATTTCCTCTGGTTAAAACATTGGAAAAACAAAAGCCAATATCTTCGGCTCCAGCTGCCAACTCCACACCATTGTCTCTGATTCAAAAATAAAGTTGCTGGAAACCAGGTCTGGCAGCATATGTGAAGGAAAACAAAACAGAGTAAACGTTTTTTTGGGTCTTTTGCCCTTCCACAGAACTGATGGTGGCTGGGAAAATGTCAGTTTATGTGCAGAAAAAAGGGAGGGGGATGGGGTAGGGAGTAAACAATAGGATAGAACCTAGAGAGAGAGAAGAGCAGTTGGACAGACAAAAAGTTGACAACGATCAGGCTGGGAAGGTGAATAGTTGTTAATGGGGACTATTAGTGACTAACAACAGGGGGTGTGTAATGGCAAGCAATGTGGTAACAAGGCCTGGCGTGTGAGGTAGGGGGCTGGGACATGGGAGAGTTTAGGCCCTAAAATTATTGAACTCCATATTGAGTCTGGAGGGCTGTAGGGTCCCCAAGTGGAAAATGAGATGTTGTTCTTCCAGCTTGCGTTGAGCTTCGCTGGAACACTGCAGCAAGCCAGAAACAGAGATGTTGGCCAGGGAACAGGGTAGTGCATTAAAGTGGCAGGCAACAGGTCGTTCAGGGTCTTTTTTGCAAGTAGAAGGTAGATGTTCTGCGAAGTGGTCACCCAGTCTAGGCTTTGTTTCCCCAATGTAGAGGAGACCACATTGTGAGCAGCGAATGCAGTAGACTAGATTCTGGGAAGTGCAGGTGAAGTGTTGCTTCACCTGGAAAGTATGTTTGGGGCCTTGGATACTGGTGAGGGAAGAGGTAAATGGGCAGGTGTTGCACCTTCACCGGTTACAGGGGAGGGTGCCATAGAGCTGTGGGGAAGTGTTGGGGGTGAAGGAAGTGTAACTGAGGGAATGGTCCCTGCAGAAGGCAGACAAGGGAGGGGAGGGGAGTATGTGTCTGGTGGTGGCATCTTGCTGGAGGTGGTGGAAATGGCGTCTGATGATCTTCTGGGTGTGGACGCTGGTGGGATGGTAGGTAAATTGTCTTTGCTTGCCTGCCCTGCCTGGCCAGATCTCAGATTGAAACAGACTGCTTTCAGTCTCAGTGGCCTGTTTGATACTGTGCTGTCTTTCTCCATCATAAAGACTGCCTCTTTCCATCTCTAACATCAGTCCTACTCATGATATCCTCACGAACTTCTTCTACTTCCAGTTTTTGTTAGTGCCAGACCCTAAAAGGTTCCCAAGTTATTTTGGCTCCAAAGTTTGCTTTGTTATGTTCCTGGGTGAGGAGGGATGAATTGGGTCTCCTTTTTTTTTTATTCACTCATCCTCTTGATTGGTGGCAACACAATTAATTTAAAAAGGATCCTAGCCCTTGTGAATGCCTTGCTCCCAGACCAAATCAGTTTATGCTTCAAAGGGAGCTGGTTTAACTAGGATTTCTTAAGATGCCAAAAGAGTAAGTTTATCAATTATTAAACACAAAAGAAAAGCACTTCAGGGTTCTGATCTGCTATCATGACATTTTGAATTCACCCCTCCCACCCTGCATGCTCTCTAAATGTCAGCTCATTTGAAAGCACTGCGGCCTATGGTTCTTTGTGTTCCAAGTCTCACATACTCATCAGTCATGCCCTTGCTGACTTAGTTTTGCTTCAGGCCTCCAAACCCTCCGTCAAATGTTTATCATCTGGTTTATGTCCTTTTATGATCCAACCAGTCCCCATGTCTATGATGTCCTCTAGCCCTGCACCTCCCTCAATATCTTTCATTGCACAGAGGATGACCTTTCTGCCTACCACCACCCCCTCCACCCCGACACCTTTCCCCCACCCCATGATGCTCCTATTTTCAGGTGTCTAGGTCCTGTGCATCACCATTTGCTTATTAAACCCTCTACCTCTCCACTTTTAAAGCCCTCATTAAAACTGACCTTTCAGTCACCTCTCTTAAAAAGTCCTTCTTTGTTTTTGTTTCCAGTTTTGTCAGATCATGTGGTAATTTCTTTGTTAAATTTGGCAATGTAAATGCTTGTTGTTATTGTGCCCCTCATTGGGTAAAGGTGACACGTCCTATTTCCTGGAGTAGCTGTACCTCATTAAATCTATATGTTGACCAGGGACTGCAGTTTTTGTTAGCACAGTGTGAAGCTGGAGGAACACAGCAGGTCAGGCAGCATCAGAGGAGTAGGAAAGTTGACGTTTCGGGTCAGGACCCTTCTTTCTTCTGAAGAAGGATCCTGACCTGAAATGTCAACTTTCCTACTCCTCTGGTGCTGCGTGGCCTACTGTGTTCCTCCAGCTTCACACTGTGTTACCTCTGACTCCAGCATCAGCAGTTCTTACTATCTCCGACTGCATATTTTGTGTTAGGTCTCCATGCTGCAGCACAACCCTGGGATTTCCTGGATCGATTCTACTGAATCTGGACCTCACATCAAAATGGCAATGAATTGGAGCAGGACATGCCCAACCTCCCACTTTATTTTATTCTGAATTTACTTGTGGACTGTCAAAGGAAGGGGGATGCTCTGTGTCAGCGGGTCTGCCCTATCCAGGCTTGATGGTCTGTGTGGATCCCCAAACAAGTAACGAGGCACATAATGATTATTGCAATGATTTGCTGCCACTCCATCTCCCATCCCCATTCTCAACCTGAGGGCACCCTCAGGCCTTGGACCTTTCAGTTTCCCATTCTCCACTCCCAACAATGGTCTTGCTGCCCAGCTTCAGGCACCAGGTTGCTCAAAATAGACTGCACTGCTCCACTCGAGCATTGCACCAACAGGAGGACTGAAGAGAATAGCAGTCCACTGTAGCTGATCTCTTCAGTTCATCTCTCCACATTCTTTAAAGTTTGCATCATATGTATAAACAGGATGGTTACAGAGATGTTCAGCATTTTTGCCTTCATTGCTCAGTCATTTGAGTCTAGGAGTTGGGACGTTATGTTAAGGTTGTACAGGACATTGGTGAGGCCTCTTCTGGAATACTGTGTCCCATTCTGGTTGCCCCGTTATTGGAAGGATATTATCAAGCTGGAGAGGGTTTAGAAGAGATTTACCAGGATGTTGCCGCATATGGAAGGTTTGAGTTATAAGGATAGGCTGGGACATTTTTCGCTGGAGTGTAGGAGATTGAGAGGTGAACTGATAGAAGTTTATGTAGTGAGAAGTATAGATAGAGTTGATAGTAGTTGTCTTTTCCCTAAGATGGGGAATTTCAAGACTGGGGGCATATTTTTAAGGTGAGAGGAAAGATAGTTAAAAAAGACATGAGGCAAATTTTTTACACATGTGGAATGAACTTCCGGATGAAGTGGTGGATGTGGATACAATTACAACGTCTAAAAGACATTTTGACGGATATATGTATAGGAAAGGTCTGGAGGGATTTGGGCCAAGAGAAGGCAGGTGGGACTAGTTTAGTTTGGGATTATGTTCAGCATGGACTGGTTGAACTGAAGGGTCTGTTTCCATGCTATATGACTCAACATTGCTACTGCCCATGAAGGAGGTAGTCACGCTCTCAATATTACTGGCTGCTTGTGTGGCACAAAATATTTAACTTTATGCTCATCTATGTTTCAGGTGAGCATAACCGAACAGTCAATGAACGCACTGAGGATACTATTCTGGTAAACACTGTGTACGTTCATCCCGGTTTCAGTATCACAAATATGGACAGTGACATTGCTCTTCTCCAACTGTCTGAGGTTGCTGTCTTCAGTGATTACATTATACCAGTGTGCTTGCCCACCAAAGAGATGGCAGAGAGAAAGCTACTCATTGCCAACAAGTCCGTGGTGATCACAGGCTGGGGCGCTATGGATGAAAGTGATGATAGTGTCCGCCCTAGTACTCTATTATTCATCAATATCAAATTAACCTCTTACAAGCTGTGCAAGGAGAAGCTCAAAGACAAAGTGACGAACAACATGATCTGTGCAGGAAACCCAGGTTCCAGAAAAGATGCCTGCAAAGGAGACAGCGGTGGACCTATGGTCACTTTATTGAATGGCACGTGGTTTCTGCTAGGACTGGTCAGCTGGGGAGAAGGATGTGGTCGCTTCCAAACATTTGGTGTGTACACCAAAGTGACCAATTACCTAGACTGGATGTATTCAATAATCAATGCTGTAGCAACCTAATTATCTGAAGCAGTATGTGCTCTTTCTAATGAGCTTCCAATGTGCCTAAAATTATATTAAATTAGACAGAATTTCAAGCTCTATGTGTGAGATGCTAAATATGTTATGCTAGTTTAGTGACCGCCTAGCATGCTGCAAAGCAGTGTGACTTATACTCAAATACAGCTTATACATTATGACTTTTGGTAATTGATTGTGATTATCTATAACTCAACCTTACCTTAAGAGACAGGTAGTCATTCCCTGCTTATTCACTTCATCCTGTTACATTCTCAGCTTTATAATTGTGTTCTACTGTCCAGAGCTACAAGTGACGTTTCTGCTGTACGTTCTAAAGTGTATGCGTTTATCACAAATTAACAGTGTGAGTTTTTCATGTGTCTCATCAGATGTGATAATATCATTCCACAGTTCATTGACTATAATATCCAGCTAGTGATTACATGTGACTATGTGATTCAGTCTCTGATTTAATTTTATAATGCTGCTGAGAAGTATCTCGTCATTTTATTAATTTAAAGGTACTATATAAAAGTAGCAATAAATGGTTATGAGCCTCTAACTGTTCAATATTGAATTTTTGGTGTTATCTGTGTCTGTCAGGTATAGGCTTCTATCTGAGACTGTAGGTAGGCCCCAAATAGGGAGAAGGAAGCCAGTATGAAAAATATAGTTTCCTTTACCAAATCACCTGGAGCTGGTGCAAGAAAGGGCTTCACAAAATTTGCAGAAGGGGGCATACTTCAGGAGGCGAATTTTATTTCTAAAATGGTAGACTAAACAAGCTGAAAGCTGAACAGGGGCAGAATCTCTTAAACAGGTGATGAAAAAATATCTAAACAGGGACAGATTGTGCAAAGGTTAAATAAGGGATTGGATAGGTAATAGTTTGACTGGATCAGACATGAAAAGGTTCAACTGGACTTAACTCCCAAAGCCTAAGTGAGTTGGACTGCTTTCTGGAAGAATTTATGAAAATGTCATTCCATCATACAATACCTGACACTGATACTTCGAGTTCTGCAGAATAATAAATCTTTATTCTATATTCTGACCTTGGTGTGTTGGTCTATTTTCTGCTTATCACAAATCACATAGAGATTAAAAGAGCTATGAAAGATGAGTGGATCTCCTGTGATGACTACGTTGCAACGTATAAGGGAATCAGTTGCTCTGAGCCAGGAACTTTGAGAACGGTCATCGGCCACTGAAGATGAGCAAAATAAAATCAACATATTTGTCACTGAGGTAAAGGTCCCTTCCATTTTCTCATCATAAAGTCAATTCATAACTACTTTAAAGTTGCAAAGAGAGACATCACAAGTACTGCTCAAAATGGCAATACTATAAATAGGTAATTCCTCCATTAACCTTGCCTTGGGAACACATTGCTGTAAGTAGCAAAGATTGCATTTATGCACATAATTTGTTTTATGTGCCTAATTTTTCATAGAGTCAAACAGCACGGAAATGGACCCTTTGGTCCAACTCATCCATACCGACCAAGTTTCCCAAACTAAACTAGTCCCATTTGCCTGTATTTGGCCCATTATCTCTCTAAACCTTTCCTATTCATTTACCTGTCCAAATGGCTCTTAAATGTTGTAACTGTGCCTGTATTTACCACTTCGTCTGGCAGTTCATCCCACATACAAACCACCCTCTGTGTGATAAAGTTGCCCCTCAGGTCCCTTTTAAATCTTCATCCTCTCAGCTTAAAATTATGCCCTCTAGTTTTGAACTCCCCCACCATAGGGAAAAGACATTTGCTATTCACCTTATCTATGCCCCTCATGATTTTATAAACCTCTATAAGGTCACCCCTCCGCCTCCTATGCTCCAGTGAAAAATGTCCCAGCCTGTCAAACCTCTGCTTAACTAAAGCCCTCCAGTCCCAGTAACATCCTTGGAAATCTTTTCTGCACCCTTTCCAATTTAATAATATCCTTCTATATAACTATGATCCATGTGTTACAATTACCTGGAGAATTATCCTGCTTCTATCAGAAATCTAAAGCAGTTTCAGCCACTGTGCTGATTGCTGTTAATCACGGAGACTGTTTCAGTTGTTGTTGTTTGCTGTAAATTGTCTACTGTTCACCTCAAACTCTAGCTTACCTCTTAATGTCAGTATGTATTTCATTATTTGCATAATTTTGCAGGAAGGAACATGGTTCAGGCAGAAGGAAAAAGAAAATGAGTTTGCTGCGGTTTTACAATAATTGGGAAATTGTTAGAGTCCATTAGAAAGGATGTAATTGCAGCCCATTTAGAAATGTATAATGTATAATTATAAATGTATAAGCAGTCAGCTTAACAAAGGGAAAACATGCAGGAAAAAATTGCTAAAATTCTTTGAGGAGGTAACAAGCAGCATAGATGAAAAAGAAGTATGGACGGAATATATTGGATTTTCAGAAGGCATTTGAGAAGATAATGTGCATGATGGTACTTAATGAGTCCGTGGTCTTGGACGTAATATACTAGCATAGATAGATGATTATAGAACACAGAGAGTTGAGATAAGGGGGACATTTTCAGGCTGATAACCTGTAACTAATGGAGTGCCACACAGATCAGTGTTGAGGCCATAATTATTTGCAATCTATGTTAATAACTTGGATGAGCAAAGTCAATGTTTTATAGAGATAATAAGGTGTAGAGCTGGATGAACACAGCAGGCCAAGCAGCATCAGATGAGCAGGAAAGCTGACGTTTCGGATCTAGAACCTTCTTCAGAAGAAAATGTTTTATAAGCATGTTTGTAGATGACACAAAAATAAATAGGAAGGCAAGTGGTGAGCCTGTAGAGGAAAATAGGACAGGTTAAATGAGTGGGCAGATGGAATATGATGTGGGAATTGCAAGGTTTGGCAGGAAGGATAGAGGACCTGAATATTATTTAAATGGAGAAAGGCTACAGAACAAAGGGACTTAGGAATCCTTGTCCACGAATCATAAAAAGCTAGCATCTAAATTGAGCAGGCAATAGGAAAGGCAACTTGAATGTTGGTCTTCATTTCAATGAAAATGGAGTATAAAAATAGGAAGATTTTGCTAAAACTATATTAGGTACTAGTCAGAGCACAACTGGAATACTGTGAACAGTTTTGGCCCCCTCATCTAAGGAACATAGACTGATATTGATGGCAGTGCAGAGATGGCTCACTAAGTTGATACCAGGTGTGTAAGGATTGTCATATGAGGAGTGGTTGAGTCGGTTGGGCCTATAATTGTTGAAATTTAGAAGATTTAGAGGTGACCTTACTGAAGCATATAAAATTCTTATGGTCTTGACTCGATAAATGTAGAAAAGTTGTTTCCCCTTGTGGGACACTCTAGCATCACAGGGCAAAATCTCTGCATAAGGGATCACACGTTTAAGACAGAGATGAGGAGGAGTTTCTTCTGGGAGTAGTGAACCTGTGGTATTCTTTCCTGCACAGGACTGTTGAGACTGGGTCACTAAGTACATCATGGTCAAGATAGACAGAATTTTAATCATTAAGGGAATCAAGATTTATTGACAAAGTCAGAAGTCACACAACACCAGATTATAGTCCAATAGGTTTATTTGAAATCACAAGCTTTTGGAGCGCTGCTTCTTTGGTCAGGTGAAGGGACAAAGGGGCAGCGCTCAGAAAGCTTGTGATTTCAAATAAACCTGTTGGCCTATAACTTGGTGTCGTGTGACTTCTGACTTTGTTCACCCCAGTCCAACACCGGCACCTCCACATGAAGGATTATGGGAATATGACAGGAAAGTGAAGTTGAGGATTGTCAGATTAGTGATTATCTCATTCAATCATGGAGCAGGCTTGATGGGCCAAATGGTCCACTTTTGCTTCTACGTCTTATGGTTTTATGGTCTATCAATGCTACTAATTTCTGAGAATACTTGTCACAAAACTAAGAATGGATGGACATGCGTCCGAGCTTTCAGCAGACAAATACATGGAGACAGCTATAGGACCATGGAAGCTGGTCTTGATCTTAGCATTGCGCAATCTCAGTATACTGCAGTGTGCATCATGCTGCATCTATCTTCAAGCTATTGGTGCCATCTAAAATAGTAGCTTTGCCTCATTTAATAGGACTAGATTTATTCCTATATCATGCAATTAAATTTTCAAAGCATCTTCAATATTGAAGACTGATAATCTAAAGTACACATATTTAGTACTTCTGTCATACCCAGTGAGTCCTTTGTAAAATGTGCTCAAACATTTCACAATTGCTTGATGCTATCTTTGATAGTTCTTCACATATTATTCCTTGACATGTACAAAACCAAAGAAACATTTATCTTTTCTCAAGCATTTTTTTAAACTTCTGAGCTTTAATCACCTATTTATTTACAAGAAGTTTTTGTTTTAACTTGTTCTACTTCTCTGTTCCATTTAAAGGTTTACCAATAAAATATTAACATGGAATTATAAATCCTAGTCATAATTTGTTTACACAAATTGGCAATGTGTGATCATTAACACAAATTCTGTGGTTGGTGAGTGTCTTGTGTGGTTAACGCATCGTCTAACATATCTGGTTACTATGAAATTTCAGATTGATTTTACAATGGAATTGTTTTCAGCAAAATATACATTCCAGATGTTCTTTTACCCAGTGACTGGAAGGACAATGTGTATGTATGGTTCAGTTCTCTGGCAAATTTTTAATCTAACCAAACAGTACATAATCTGATAATTAACTTATTCCAAATATTGACTGACTCCATCAAGCATGTGCAAAGCAATAACTTGTTTTGAATGCAAGAACACTATTTCCTGTCCTGAACCCATGTTAACTGATACTGTTCACAGTTTCCTCTTCACAGAAACTTTCTACAGCCCTTTCAAATCTGGCATTATCACTCTCACCTGCAAGCCAAACCTTCATACCTCTGTCCTTGCAATACACCACTTCTATCTTCAATGTCACTTTTCTCCCCTTTTGTATGTTGTTGTCACCCAAATTTTTGACTGCCTTTCCCACAAAGGAGTTTCCTCAGGTTTCACAACTGCTCAGTACTGAAACAGCCACCAACAAGTATTTCTGGGAGACTATGATCATGGTGAACTAAATTCCATGATCTGTCTGGAGTCTTTGAAATGGCTGACCACATGATCTTCCTTCAATAGCTTTCCATTATAGTCCATCCAGATCCAATGCCCAAACCTTGTTTCCCTTCTTATCTATGCAATCAAATCCTGAGAATTTCCTGCAAAACCCCTCTACCTGCTCCTATACCAATACTTCCAGTGTCCCCCTCAAGGTTCTATCCTTAGCCCTCTCCAGTTTCTCATCATCCATCCCGTCCTTTGGTCCCATCATCCAAAACCTCAATAACAAGTCTCTCATATACGTTGTACAGTGCCTAATTTTATCACGTCACACTGTCCCTTGACTCTCCACTGCCTCTGATTTGTCATGTTGTTTGGCTGACATCCAGGAGTGGTTGATGAGAATATTCCTACAATTAATTTGAGGGAAGACCAAAGCCATTGGGCTGAATTTAAAAGAGGCTGTGCAGACCTCGTCCATCAACCATAAGATCAGACGCCATCCCAACGCAGCTGTTTCTGGGATCCCCAATGGTGTTAAATGCCCATGCTGTCTGACAAAGTACCTGTGCTTTTAAAGGTAAGGATTCTGCCATCAAGTGATTCCAGGTTTCCAGACTGCTGGTAGTTCATCAGTCTCCGCAATGCCAGTTGGGACGTTATGTAACAGCTACACAAGACATTGGTAAGGCCATATTTGGAGTACTGCATATTCTGGTTGCCTGACTATAGGAAGGATGCTCTTAAACTGGAGAGAGTGCAAAAAAAAAATTGACAAGGATGTTACCAAGACTGGAAGGTTTGAGTTGTAAGGATAGGCTGGGATGTTTTTTCCCAGGAACGTAGGAGGCCAAGAGGTGATCATATAGAGGTTTATAAAATCATGATGGGCATAGATAAGGTGAACAGCCAAGGTCTTTACACAAGGCTAGGGGAGTCCAAAGCTGGAGGGCATAAGTGTAAGGTGAGAGGAGAAAGATTTGATAAGGATCTG